AATAAACCTAAAGAAACCTAATGTTTCTTGGTTTACAATTTTCAATAAAAAGATTTACAAAAATAATAAAAGCAAAGAAAAAAAAAATTATATGAAGGATTATTTTGGATAATGAATATAATTTTAAATAGTTATATTTTCAATGGTCAAAGTCGGTGAATCTTAGATGGAGACTTGGCTCGTGCATAAATAAAAAAAATGTAGTGGCTTAAAGTGACATTCCAAGTCAATTTCTGGTCCAATTGTCTGTTCATATTAATATAATGTTCTCATATAAAAAGTTAGTGAATTATGGGTAGGTTTCTTTATAGAAAAGAATAATCTAAAAGAGGAAAATAGAAAGGTGAAGAAGATGATGATTATTTTTCATCCAATTTAAGTTTAGAACACCAAGTTTGAGCGCCATGTGGAAGCCAAAATTGAATAGGATTTAGGTGTGGTTTTTTTTTTTTTTTTTAAAAAGTTGAACGTGTGTGTTAATTGAATCTGTCTAATATACAGGTTTGATGGATATGTTTGTTTTTAATTTTTTTTTCAGTATTTGATTATAAGTCTTGAGTTGTTTGTGATTGTGAACCATCTGATTAAGATGTTTTGTATTCAAATAAAAGTCAAATATTTAGCATTTTATTTATGTATGATTGTAGATAAAACCAAAAGTTAACAAACATAAGACATGTTGACTTACTAAATTGATTGTATTTAACTTAAAAGAGTCAAAACAAACAAACCCAACTAGAACTTAAAAATAATAAGAGATGACCCAAATGCAATAATAATTTCTTGCTATTTCACAATTGAATGTAATAAATGGTATTGGTGCTTAAAGAATTAGCATTCATTCAATGCATAAGGGGCCGCCAACCAAGCCAGAGAAAGTGCACATCTTCCACTTGTTTTCTCGCTAGAAATCAAAATTATTTGTTCATATTTTATATTGTTGCGTTGTCATTCTGTGCATAATTAATACTCTAGTGGCTATGGATTGACATTTCTTGGTTTACACACTGCACACAGAGTATTATACATAAAATAATAATAATAATAATAATAATAAAAGGAACAAACAAATAAGGTTCACGATGTGATCCTGAAACTGCTATTGGAACTAACAATTAACAAGTTTATTGACAAATTGGCGTATACCCCAAAGTCTAAAAAGATGGCCTCACAAAACAGGATGTGGTCATGAAAATACTGTCAAGAGGATAACATTATTGCTTTGCAAGTTGTGTGGTGAATGGTGATGTATGAGTACCGAGTAGAAGTTATCACATCTGATCACCAAGTTTAAGAGTTATTTTTATGTTGATATTACCAGATAAGGTGATTGAAAACGTGATTATGATAAATTTAATAAATGTCTATAGTGAAAGAAAAATAAAATGGAGTAGAGCAACGATAAAACACGGGCGGATTTAATGAATGACGAGTGGGGACCACGGCCCCCACTCAATTTTTTTAAAATTTTAGATTTTCTATTACTATTTATATTTATTTAAATTTTATCCTTATTAATCTTTGAGATTTTGAGAACGGAATAATCAACCCCCACGGTAAGTTTGGATATTGTTTTTGTAAAACCCTATTTTTAATTTTAATATATTTATTACATATTCTTTGTGATTTTTATTTTTATGTAAGGGGATCTATTAGTTTTTAAAAAATTTATTGGGAGTGAAAATGAAAGGAATAAGAACTGTTGGATTTGCACGTAATGGTTTGAATCCTAAACAAAGGGGTGAAGCATGTAATCTATTTAGGGGTGAAAATCAAGTCGAGCCACCCACGAGCCACTCAAACTATACTTGATGTTGGCTTGAACTCGACTCCGCATTAGTTGAGTCGAGTTCGAGTAGTTAATCGAGTAAAACTCGACTCAATATATTCGCGAGTATTTCCAAGCTCGATGGTTAAGTTGACAGTTTTTAAAGTAATAGGGGTCATATGTAATTTAAAAGTTGTAAAATTTGCAAATCCACCCCGTTAGATGAGCTTGAAATCGAGTTCGAACTTGAACTCGATTAAAACTCGAATAAAACTCAACTAAAACTCGAAAAAAGCTCGATTATACAAATTTGAATTCGAACTCGATTTCCAATTTCAAGTACTAAGTTCGAGTTTGAACTTGATTTCTCATGTTCGATCAGGCTCGAACTCGAACTCGGCACTATAGAGATCGAGTTGAGTTCGATTTACCAAATACTCGACTTGATTTGATTTCACCCCTAAATCTATTAGATGTAATCTATTCCTTTGATTTTGCATTTAGCTTGCATATGATGAAAAATATATTGGCAATTACTAATGAGTTGTCACAAGCATTGCAGAGAAAAGATCAAGACATTGTAATTGTTATGGCCATAGTCAAAGTCTCCAAAACAACGGTTACAATTGTTGAGAGATGAAGGATGAAAATCTTTGTTGAGTGAATTTTTTTCATTTTGCCAAAAACATGATATTTTTATTTTGAATAGGATGATATGTTTGCAATTCGAAGGCAACCACGACAAAGAGTTGAGCACATGAAAAGTTTGCATCACTATCGAGTTGAATTGTTTTATACAATAATAGATATGCAACTTCAAAAACTTAACACTTGTTTCACTAAGGTTAGTACTGAGCTGTTTCTTTGTATGACATGTTTAGATCCAAGTATTTCATTCTCTGCTTTTGACAAGCATAAGTTGATCCGTTTTGCCTAGTGTTATCCAACTGATTTTTCTGCACTTGAGTTGATGGTACTTGAGAACCATACAAGGACTTGTGTTATTGACAAGCATTCTTGTGATGAATTTTTCCGAGTTAGAAGGAATTGGTGATTTGGCTAAGATTTTAGTTCAGCTTAAAAAAGACATTTTGTATCCGTTGGTGTATAAGCTTGTGAAACTTGCATTGGTTTTACTAGTTGCGACTGTGATCGTTGAAATGATTTTTTCTACAATGAATCTTGTGAAAAGTTGGTTACGCAATCGAATGGAAAATCAATGGATGAATGATTGCTTGATCACCTGTATTGAGAAAGATGTATTTAATACAGTTGATGATGAGATAATTGATAATTATCCAACATTTTCATGATGTGAAAACTTGTGTAGAAAAATTGTTTTATTTTTACAAAAATTGTGTTTTTTGAAGATATTTATTTGTATTTTGTAACTTTTTGTTGAAGCTCATCATAATGAAAAAAAAAAAGTATGGATATGATTGGTTTTAATTTTTTTTCGTTTATTTTTTGCCCCCATCGAGTGAAATTTCTGGATTCGCCACTGATAAAACATTCTCTTGAGCAGATTAAAAAGGAAAGCATTTCAGAACGATTTAATTTTGCAAACCTGCTGTGATTGAGTTACCTGAGGATTTGTTTTCATCTTTTTTATGATAAAATGTATTTTTTGCTTAATAGTGTTGTCACTGATACCAATGGGTTGGGCTTCTTACGGGGTCTAATTTTCCGGACTTGAAATGGGCTCAGGATTGTGGGATTAGAGTACATTACTATCAACACATTATCAACCTCTATGTATATATATATAGATTTTAATATGAATAAACCATTTTTGTAATTTTTTTATACAAAATAGATTTTACAGAAGTGATTTACCAGATTGATCAATACCTTGGTTACTAAATACATCTCTATTATATATATAATTAAAAAACAAAATTTCTTTAAACTTCATTTAGTAATGAAAATAACCCTGTTTAATTAGGATTTGTATTTACATCGTTTTTCGCTAGTTTCAAACTTAATTAAGTTTCTTTTGTTTGCACCCATTTTCCTAAATTCAAAATTAATTTTTTGTTTAAACCATTTTTTCTTCCGAATTTCAAATTTAATTGGGTTTTTTATTTATACCATTTTTTTTTTCAAATTTCATATGTGAAATTTACGTTTTCTTTTTTTAGATTCATCTTGTTGTGTGATTATTTTCTCCATAGCTTTAGTAATATATTTCCATCAAACAAAAAAAATATTTGAAATTAAAAAAAAAAAAAGTTTCAATGATTTACAAATTTAAAAACTAGGTTTTATGTAGTAAATTAAATGTTTAAAATTAAAAATATATATATATAAAATAGGGAATAAGTATATTTACAAATTATTATGTCATTTATAGTAAATTTCATTAAGGCTAAAAATGTCAAAACGAAAAAAAAAAAAAAACATTAAAATTGGGGGATATGATAAATTTGATGGAGGCTAAAAATCATGTGCTTATTCTTAAATCTTGAAAAACAAATAATGGGCTTAAAAAGAATTTAGACAACACTCAACGTTTAAGTACATGAAAAATGAAGGTATAAAAATTGAATATAAATTTCCTTCTTATACAGGTCGTTTGTCAGGTGAAAGCATGCTTCCAGTAGTCAAGTTTTTGTTTCTGTACATATACATAAATAAATAAATGGCTATGCTAAACAATATTTTCGGCAACAGCATTACGGTAAACCTGGAAATAAGGATGGATAAATAAAGCACGACTTCCTGTGAAAGTTTATGTTTCCTAAAAATCCAAAAGCTATTTCCTATATCTTTCAGGAAATCAAGAAAACTCAATAGTTCAAATTTTAATACAAGAGAAGAACGAGTCTTATTTATAGATGGAGGTGTTTGAAAAAGTAAGTTCCCTTCAATTATGCCTTTGTTATATCAGTTTGAATCCATTTCAACTTTTAAAGAAAGAACTCTAGAGGCATCCCAAAGTTCTTCAGATATTATTTACAAATAACATTAAAGACTTTCCATGCCAATAGTAAAACTATCAAATCCTTTACTCTAGTTTACATTCATTAGTATTGGCATGGAAGGTCTCTTTATTGGATTCCACTGAACTTAAATTAAGGTAGTACATAAAAGTTTGAGATAACTTATATAATAATCAATCCCAAACTCAAAACACTTTGTTTACGTTGTGCTATTACCAGGACAATGTATTTATTTATGCGTGGAAGCATTTGACAGAAGTTCCTCAATTATACATTACAATTTTATTTCTCTATAAATGATTAATTTGCATCCATTTCATCATCTGAAGAAGCGAAGGGCTTTGGAGGAATCTCCAAGCTCTGCAAGTCACCTTCAAGCATTTGTAACACAAGTGGCATGGAAGGCCTCTCTGTTGGATTCCACTGAATGCACCAGAGTCCCAAAATTGCAAGCTTCTTGGCAATTTCCTCATCTCCCTCTACCTCAATTTCTAAATTAAGCTCTTTTCCTTGGCTCATTTTGTTGTATATCCACTCAGGAAAGTAAATTTGGCTTTCTTTGTCAATTGTAAGATCAATATTCTTTCGGCATCCAACGATCTCTAGTAGCATCATTCCATAACTAAAAACATCGGACTTGTAAGAAACCTCGCCAAAGTGCCTGGAGAAAAGTTCTGGGGCAATGTACCCTGTAGTTCCTCGAGCAGCTGTCATTGACACAACACTTTGTTCTTTTGAGCATAATTTTGCTAGCCCAAAATCTGAAATCTTCGGCTGAAAATTATGGTCAATTAATATATTGTGAGGCTTGATGTCAAAGTGAAGGATCCTCTAGTTGCATCCTTGGTGCAAGTACTCTATTCCCCGTGCAACACCAATGGCAATGTCTTGCAACTTTTCCCAACTCAATGGACGCTGAATTGACTTGTTTACATCTAAGAATATAAACTTCTCAAGTGATCCACTAGGCATGAACTCGTAGATAAGAGCACGTCGTGTTCCTTCTGAATAAAATCCAAATAGACGAACAATGTTAAAGTGGTGAATCCTACCTATAGTAGCCACTTCATTGATAAATTCTTCACCATTTCCTTTTGAATGTCCCAACATCTTAACAGCAACCGGAATTCCATTGGAGAGTTTTCCTCTGAAGACACTTCCATAACCTCCTTGACCAAGTCTATGCCTAAATTTACCAGTTATTTTCTTAAGGTCACTGTAAGTATATCTGGTTGGATTGAGGGTCCTGTAGTCTTTGAGGAACTTCTCTATTTTCAATTGAGTTTCTTTTTCATTTTCAGATTTCCTGGATTTGTAAAGGAGAAGTATTACCAATGCAAAGAAGACAATGCCTCCAATACTTGTGGCTGTAGGCACTGCAATGTTAACTACACCACCATGACCATGATAATCTGCATGTCAAAAGAGAAATTCTTAACTTGGTCGAGTAATAAGATTAATTAGTTAGCATTCTAAATTGCAAGCAGGATTCACATCTTTCAAGTACAGCTAGAAGATGAACAGGAAATTCTTTAAAATGTTCAGAAAAGAAAGGAAAATGTGAAAATTGGTTTTGAAATAAAATTATTGAAAGTTATTCACACCAAGCAACCTGAAAGGAACTAATTTTAAATATAGAGTGGATTTGGAAAGGTTATATTGTAGTTCTGTCTCTATTGCAAGGCCTCCTTGCTCTGTTTTTATTTTTTATTTATTTTTGCTGCGTAAAACAACTTGGGGAAGAAGTGCATCCCATCGTCCAGGTTTCAACCTTCACTGACAACAAATCAGGAGCCGAAAATGTTTATAACTTATCACTAAGGTGCAACAAGCAAGAGGGGAAACATACGGTAAATAAAAGTTCAATTATGTATGCACTTACCAAATTAGTAATGAATTAACTACAATTCAACTCTATTCTATTAAAATATAAATCAAGTAATGGTACTCTTGCTAAGATATTCATCTGTTTATGCATCTTGAAGTTTAATGTATGTTATAAAAAGAAATTTTGAACAAATTATACCCAGTCAACGTATAGAAACCACAAACGACAAAGATTTTACTTGAAATTTCATACGTACTTTCAGAAAGCTAATGGTAAACTTACGTTTGTTCTTGATACAGATTGTTGAATTGCTTGTAGTGGTGAAGCCACAAGTTCCCAGTTTTTCGCAGTCCAGCAACCACAAGGGCTCCCAACTAGTGACTACTTTCAGTTTGATTATCTCGATACTATAATCAATCGAAATATTAACAGTTTATACCAACTGCAAACTGGGGGCATCCAGACGTATTCATATGTCTGGTCATCCGTTGCATAAAATTTCGCTCATCACTGATGCAATCAAACGGTCCTAGTACAGAATCTGTCCATGTAATCTTCACAGTGCAATCCAAAGCGTACATCTGATATAAGCGATCCTATTCGAGGGAGAATCTGGAGTTTGTGAGGTTAAGAGACAGAAGACTTTGTATTGGCATGTAGTGTCATTCATATCCATAATGGTAATACTTCCGGACAGATAAGAAATGTCTTGCACATAGTAACCGCTTGAGAAAGGAAGATGCAACATAGTCTTGCCATTTGAACATGACATTCAAACCCTTCAAGGCCACAAGAGACTGATTGAGTCTTGAGCCTAAAGGGAAATCTGATTTTTGGGCCGTTTTTGCTGCAATTTGTTGGCTGACAGAACCCATATATTTTTGATCATTGTTTATAACTGATGTATTTTTGGCAATCGATGAGTAAGGTGAGAGAAGGAAGAGGATAATAAACGAAAAAGAGACATGAGAGAAACAGAGAGAAAAACCAAAAGGAACAGAGAAAATCGAGTTTTAAAATTATCTTTTAGACACCAGCTAGAAAATAAGACTGGGAAATTTGACCTTAGCTCCTAGCTGTAGTTGTCATTAAAATTAATTGATGGTAAGATATTATTGATATTTCCATCTTTTAAAATTAAAAGTATTTTTCTTTCTTTTTCCCCTTCTCCTCCTTTTTCTTCTACCTACCATTTGTGAATAATATATTGGATCTCACCTCTGGTGCCTAAATGAAGCCAGATCTAATCTCGGTTACCGCAGCCGCATCGCAGACTGAAATGGCCTTGCACGGCTTCTATGAGGCCAATCCTGACCTGAAGTTTGTTTAGTTAAAAAAGACGTTGATGAGTTTTTATTGTTAGTATAAAATCAATCGAATATCATTAGTACTATCGATAACCCAGATGTCATATATACTCTAGATAATTTTCCACCTAGACAATCCTTTTTGAATAAATTATTCGTTATCAAAGACCATATACGGAAGCCAACCAAAACATTTTGATCATTTTATAGATCATAAACAATTACTTAAAAATCCACAAAAATACAATTGATTATTAACGTACAACTAAATTTGGCACATAGAAACTAATACAAGAAAAGTAATCGAACAGACCATTTACAGGCATATGGAGGTTTTATTTTACTTTTACACACTTCATTGCAACAACTAATTATGCAACAATATTTGTCTGAGCATTCTTCCATTGATTCCGATACTAGCAACTCGGTTGAAGGTCTGAATAAATCTCTTGTATAGAGATATGCTCAGAGAAGAAAAGAAAGGCTTAGGAGGCATTTGCAAGTCATCAACGCTCCCTTCTAACATTTCAATAACTTTTGTAATTGAGGGACGATTGAAGGCTTCACTTGTATGACCATAACCAATTAAAACATTTTTCTTGCAATCACAATTTCATTTTCAGTGACATCTTCAATCTCCAAATCCCCACCAATAATTATTTGTATATACCCAAGATGGGAAGTATGCTTTGCTTGAACGATCTGCCTTCAATCGGAATTTTTTATCTCCAACCATTTCCAACAACAACATTCCAAAGCTATATACATCTGACTTGCAAGAAACTGTTCCAAAATTCCTAGAAATCAATTCAAGAGCTATGGATGTTAGAGTCATGAAAGTGACTCTATTTTGGTGATAAAAATACCCATTTGTGATTAAATTGAAGTATATTGAGACAATTAAAGAATTTATGAATTTATTCACGAAAATCGTTCCTAATATTTTTCTTATGAATTTAACGTGTTTGGAATGATTTTGGAAAATATATGAGTTGATATGAGATTGTGGTTTATGGATTAAGGGTGATTTTGTCTCATTTTGCTGTTTAGGGGGTAAAATGTCATGTTTTAAGGGGCTGATTTGTCACTTTTTAATTGTGTAGGGACTAAACTGAAATTTGCAATATGTGCTATAAAAGAAAAAATGCAGATCGGTCCAAGGGGGCTGTTCATCTTCATTTTTCCGGCGACCCTTCACCTTCTCCGATCAAGCTCGGCGACGAGTGGTCTCCTTTTCCGGCGACGATTCACCTCCCCCTTGCCCGGTCACCATCATCCCTCCATCACCACCGTGAACCAAGCACCACCGCGGCGTTTCATCTTCCATCCGCGGTTTCGTCTTCGGCCAATTTTGGCCGTTTTCCGGTGACATTCCAGCTCCCAAGGGTAGATCTTCATTCCCCACGCCAGATCTACACTTCCTTGCTTCAGCCGCCGCGAAAAACGCCGGAATCCGTGATTTAGCTGTCGCGACTCTTCATCTTCCAGGCCAGATCCTGCTCATTTCCGGTGACTTCTCACTCCCCAGGACCTGATCTGAACTCCCATCACCAGAGCTTTCCATCGATACCTTCGGATCCCATTTCCGCCACGTTTTCCAGAGACCCGTCAGAAATAAACGTTTTCCGGCGAACCGCGGCTGTTGTATCCCGGGCTGTCCGTTGGTCGTTTTCGGCCCTCTTCGCATCATATCGCTGTCGGTTACCTCCTCTCCGCCATGGTCAGCTCTGTTTCCACCGTTTCGGCCTCCGTCATCACCACCATGAGCGGCTAAGCTCCGGTTGTCGGTTACGGCATAGGCGAGATCGGGATTGACTCCAGACTCTCTCATCAGCTCTCGACTAGTTGGATGAGCCCGATTATAGGACATTTGGTAGTATTGTGCTTCAGATTATATTTGTTTTCGTTTCATGTTTGATTTCGATACTTTATATGATTGAACATAATTTGTGATAAATATGTTGTCCATTATGATTTAATGTTTTCATAGAACTTGCTGAATGATAAACGTTGGTTTGAAATAATTAAATGATGAATATTGCTTTTCATTACTTCGCATCGATTGAATTGAGTTGTGTTCGGATTTAATTTAATTTCTACTATTGTTGCGTTTATTGTGAAGTTGTTGATTGGATTTTACGTGTTGTCAAATTGTATTTGTTAAGCGTACCAACTAGTGGTATTGCCTTGTAGCGTTTACGACGTTCAATGATAGTCTTTAACCATCGAACTTGAGTGATCGGGTGAGACAGATAGATTATACAGAGTGTCGGGAAACCATTTCAGTGATTTACCTTGCCTTGTAGGTTTAGGGGATCATAGGGGTGGAGGAGAATTGTGTGAGTCGGTCTCGTGTCGAACCAAAACCGTAACGGCAACATTTTTATTATAAGTTTTTATTAGTTTTAATTGCACTATTTCATTATTGCATTAGTCTATTTAGTTTCATTAATCCATTGCCAATTTCATTTCCGCTACTTAAAATACATTAGGTTGTTAGTCTTGCTCCTTGGGTTCGACTGCTTACCGCTACTACGGTATAGGTTATTTTTTAGACTGTGACGATGGTCTAACAATGGATCCTATGTTCCTCTTGTGCATAACAGACACAAAATCCTTTTCCTTTGGATAAAATTTTGCAAGTCCGAAATCAGATACTTTTGGAATGAAATTTTGGTCTAGCAAGATATTGTGTGGCTTAATGTCGAAATGAAGAATACACAATCACATCCCCCATGTAGATACTCGAGCCACGAGCGGTTGCAGACCAATTTCATATAGTTGTCCCAACTAAATGATAGAGATTTGCCTGCCTTGGAAAATATGTGCTTATCAAGGATTCATTTGGCATATACTCGTACACAAGAGCACATTTAGATCCTTTCGAACAAAATCCAACTAATTTGTAATGTATTGACATGGTGAATTCTACCGATTGTAGAGACTTCATTGATGAATTCTTCTGCACTAAACTTGGAATTTTCTAGAACTTTAACGGCAATTAAAGAACCATTATGAATTATTCCTTTGTAAACTGATCCAAAGCCACCTTGGCCTAGTTTTTCTTTAATATTGTTTGTCACTGCCATTAGCTCAGGGTAAGCGTACCTTTTAGGCATCCAGGATTGCTGATTGTGTAGAAATTTCTCCACATTATCAACTGTCTTCCATGATGTTCTACATTTACAGATGAGGTACACAACTAAAACTATTGGAGCACCAATAAATCTGCAAATAAGAACCACTCTGTTGATGCGCGATTTAGGCACCAACTAAT